GATGGACAATGTGGGAAAAAGAAGCATATGCAGTCTGCTGGGCTCTACTAACCTGGTGCCACTTCCTTAAAGGGAGCCAAATGCCATTTGAAGTATAGACAAACAAGAAGAAACTGGAGGCACTTAGGACCCTGCGGAAGCTCTCCCCTAAGCAGATCTGATGGGTGCAGTATTTCAACTGCTTCAATTTCACTTTAAAATACATCTAGGAGGGCCTTTTAGCTGATGCTTTGTCACAAATGCCACAATACAACAGCAAGGGTGAGGAGGTGGTCCACGCTATGATGCCCCACCAAGGAAGCCAGCCAAGCCACTACCAGACAACAAATGCAGAGACAAAAACCTGATGAGGGAGGCGGTTTGATTCAACAGCTGAAAACTGAGCTACCCACTGATTCATGGAACGGAGACAACAAAGAGTTAATGACCCTCAGAGACAGACTAGTCTGGAAGGTCTCCAAACTGCATAACCCCAGCAACCTGTGCCTCCAAGTACTGGAAAGGAGCCATTACAGCAAGCAAGCAGGCTACTGGCTTCCTTAAAACCCTGTAATTGGCCAGGAGACAGTTTTGGTGGCCAAAGATGAAAATGGACATCAAGGACTATGTCAAGAGCTGCGCTACCTGTGCCACAATGAAAAAACAACCAGGGAAGCCCCGAGGACTGATCCAGCAACTGGATGACCCTTCCTGACCATGGGAGGAAATAGCCATGGATTTTACAGTAGACTTCCTGAGAGTGTGGGAAACGCTGTCATCTGGACAGTGATTGACCTCTTCTCGAAGCAAGCCCACTTTGTAGCCTGCTCCAGTCTCCCAACAGCCCACAAGCTGGCCAAACTATTCATGAAACACATTTACAGGCTGCACGGTGTCCTGATGAGAATCATCTCCAACTGGGTGGGGTCCAAATTACAACCAAATTCTGGACAGAATTTGTAAGGTCCATTGGATCTTCCCAGGGGCTTAGCTCTGCCTTTCATCTGAGTACTAACGGAGCCGCGGAATGTATGAATGCCGCGGAATGTATGAATGCATGGTAGAACAGTACTTGAGGTGTTGCATTAATTATCAATGAACTAATAGGGCAGACCTGCTACCTTTTGCTGAGGTGGTGTACAATGCAATGCACAGCAGCACTGGGTTAAGCCCTTTCCAAATCACAAGTGGTATGGATGCCTGAACTCCCCAGAGAGTGACCCTCCTTCATGACCTTAAATGAGTGGATGAAGTTACTAAGGAAAGTGTGGGAGAATGTAAACATGCCCTTCAGGAAACTGCAAAGACCCATAAATACAAGCTGATAAACATAGGTCCCTTCAATGACCCTTTCAAATAGGGAATAAGGTTTACCTCTCTACCAAGAATTTAACTTTAAAACTACTCTGCAAAAAGCTAGGACCAAAATTCATAGGTCCCTTCCCCACCGTGAAGATCATTAACCCATCACAATGGAGCTGAAGTTTCCCGCCTGCTAGGAAAAGTGCATCCAGTATTCCATAGCAGCTTGTTAAAGCCAGCAATAGGGTCTTAGCTGAGACCAGTAGACTGGACTGCCCCAAAGCCGATCGTTGTACAGGAAGAAATGCATTATGAGATAAAGCAAATCCTAGACTCTAGACTGTATAAGGGAAAGCTTCAATACATGGAAGGGGTACCCGTTGTCCAAAGCCACATAAAGAGCTGGGATATAAAAGCAGATAGACCAGCTAAGCAATTTTATTATAAATACCCTCAAAAACCAAAAGTATCGGGGGGGGGAGGGAGGAGTGGATTATTGAAAATCTAATTCCTCTCCATTTGAATTTTTCAGGAAATTCTCTCCAATTAAAGGGGAGAGGTCCGACTGTCAACTCTGAAGTGAACCTGGCTAAACCATCTTGTCCTGCCACACAGTTGCCATGAAGCCTGAGAAAGAAGGGGAGGGGGAAGTAGATAGCCCAGCTCACAGTCAGAATAAAGTGTTTTCCTGCGGGAACCAAGATCATCGTAACAGGTGGCTGGTGAAGGAGGAGACGAGCCTGCCAGCCATATTCATTGGACAATGTGACTGAGGACACTGGGGAGGGGGGAAGTATTAATCTTTTAATTAGGTGAAAACCACGGGAACTTTCAGAATTGTCTTTCACCAGCTGTGCTGATATGATGTAGCAAATAAACATGTTCTTAGAGGAATCTACCTGCCTCTGAATTCTACTTTCAATTGGTGCATTACTTGGAACACTGACTCTCTCCCTCTCTCCCTTCCCTCCTTCCTTGCTTCTCATTCCCAACTCCTTCCTTCGTCCACACTCGGGAAGGGATAAGGGGAGGGAGAGAGATTGGCCGTGCTGATGGTGGATGTGCCACTAGCGGCTCTGGCTTTCCATGTGGGGGCAGGAACAATTCTGGAGAAAGGGAAGCCTTGTGTGCTGAGAGGACAGGCCAGCAAATGTGCCATGGAGGCTTGTGGTGTCATCTCAGCTGAATTGTGGTCAGCCTTAGATCTGACCAATGGGGCAAACTGGAAGCCAGCAAAGGGCCACCCCACTGCCTCAACCAAAGGGACGCCTGCGAGGGAAGCGAGGGCAGACCAGCGAGTGGAGCATGGAGGTGCTGGTGGCAGCACAAGGCTGATCTAAAATTTGTGGCAGTCATCTGGGCCAGAACATGGTGAGCCTTAGATCTGACCCATGCAGCTCCCAGAGCCAGCAAAGGGCCACCCCGCTGCCTCAGCCCCACCTCCTGGGCATGTGCACAGAAGGCGGTGAGTGCTGGCTTCATAGGTGAAAAGGAAGTGCTCAGAATGCAGTCACTGTGCAGGGTGAGATGGTCCCCAGGGATGCCAGGTCCTATGCACTCTCCACTGCCTGTGCAAAGGCCCAGTCGGCAGGGTGGAGGTGGCCCCTTGCCAGCCCCACAGATCTAAGGCTGACTGCATTCTGGACTGGATGGCCACCACCATATTGTAGATTACCATTAATCTTCCATTCTTCCTTTCACTCACCTCCTCCCACTCATGATTGTATGATTGTAACTTTGTTGCTTGTAACCTTACGATTTTTATTGACTGTTTTCTAGTTTGATTTGATTGCTTATTGTACCGTATGACTATTATTAAGTGTTTGTACCTTATGATTCTTGATGAATGTATTTTTTCTTTTATATACACTGAGAGCATTTGCACCAAGACAAATTCCTTGTGTGTCCAATCACACTTGGCCAATAAACTATTCTATTCTATTCTATTCTATTCTATTCTATTCTATTCTATTCTATTCTATTCTATTCTATTCAGCCCGGTCTACCCAGTATGAGGAGGAAACATCAAGCCAGCATGGCTTCATCCCTAATCAACCCAATTCAAAGAGGAAACATACCAGGAGTTTGGGGAATGTCATTAAGCTGCCATGCCCACCCAGTCAACCATACCCATGCAGTTGGCCATGCCCACCTGCCCACCCTGAGGTCAATCACAGCCCTGATGCGGCCCTTAATGAAATTGAGTTTTGACACCCCTGCTATACAGCATAAAACATTCTCAGATAAGTATAATTCCAAGCTGCAATGTGGGGTCTCGTCAACAAAGGGCAAAATCAGATAGCAATTTTTATCTGGAAAGGAACCAGTTGCAGTGCTATAATCTTAATTCATTCCTCCTGTATATTTTTCTGTGCATCCAGATCTCTAATTTATTCAGATTTTTTCTGCATTAATTATTTTTTCTGCATTGATGAATTCATTAAGTAATTATGTCCCCCTACAAGAGGCTTCTGGATACTTTGCATTATGGATTTACAAACATATTTTAGACATTGAAAAATGAGACACTACATTTAATTGCTCACAAAACATCCTTTAATATATTCTTATGGCCTTCTTTGATCCATTTTTGTTGCTAATACAGCTATTTTCCTTCTGTTCAATTGTGATTTGACACTGCCTCCTTCCTTCCAAAGGTTGAGAGGAACCAATGGCTGAAGATCACCCAACTAGCAGGGTGTCCAAGGCAAAACTAGAGTTCAGGTTCTTCTGGTTTCTAGACTGATGCCTTAACTTACCCACTACACCAAACTGGTTCAGAAATGCTAAAAGGCTGAGACGTTGAAGACAAAAACCAACCCGTTGGACTTGAGCAGTATACTGAGTCTCAAGTCACTTTAAAGACTAGCAAATATTTTAAATGTAGGATAACATAGCGTTAAACTTCAACATAGTTCTCACTATCATAACATTTCCATTGCATTTTCCATCGAGTTCACTGGCTGGGGAATTCTGGGAATTTAAGTTTAAGTAATCTTCAAATTGTTAAAGTTCAGATACACTGATCCAGACACGAGATAATTGTAGTCTTGCCAAATCTGGATTATGAACATCAACTAAAACTTTTTTTTCATTTTGCAATATAATCTTGCATGTGGCTATTCAGAACTGGCTCTAATACAGCATTTCTGAGGCTTTGCACATAAACGCAAGATCAAATCTGCATTATTTGGTACTAAGTGCCATCTAATGGTTATCATTGGAATTGCAAGTCTTTATAATCGGTGAAGAATTACAGAGCATGCACCGAGAGCGAACGAAAAATTTTAAATGAGTCGGGTGCTGAGAAGAGTTATTATCGTAATGAGTCTGGTAACTGAATGAAAAACCGTTTGCACTTCAAGGTACGTTTAATCACCGATCCAATTTCTTGGAAGAAGAATAAATGAAAATAGCAACATACTTGCAGAAAGGGGAGGGGAGGCAAAGAATAGGGATTAAAAAATCCCGGAAACGAACATTTATTTTTTTCAAATATGGCTAGTTCAAACTGTCCCTGGACACAGCAGTCCTGGTTTCTATTTTTTCTTCTTTTTGTAACTGCTGCACTTTCTTCAATCGAATCAAAAGAAAGAGCAACAAGACGTTAGGCTGAAAAGAGTTCTATCACCCGGGCAACATTTATCACAAACATTCTATAAGTCCCGCCCCTTTAGTGACCCTCTTGTATTCGCCGCTGCCGCTAAGGCAACACTCCATTAGCAACCATGTCCAAAAAGCAGGGGCAAAGATGGCAGGCACTTTCTCCGCCTTTCCCTTCGCATGGGAGGTGGACTCCGGCGCGCTGGTACCCCCAGAAGGCCGCCGACAAGACTGGAGATTGACTAGCAGTGGAGTGGGGCTCAATTATAGCCCATCATTGCCTTTCCCACCGCCCTATGCGCGAGTGAGCAAGCTGATATTTAGCGGGATAGCTGGTACAATCCGGATAGTTTGTAAACATTAAGATTTGGAGAGGAGGGGATTAAGATCCATCATCATCATCATCATCATTATTATTATTATTATTATTATTATTATTATTATTATTATTATTATTATTATTATTATTATTATTATTATTATTTTTGCGAGATTGCTGGAGTGACACCAAAAAAAACAAACAAAAAACCCCCAGGGCTTGAGATTCTTTTGAGGCAGATCCTGTTTGTATCCATGTGGTCCCCACTTTTATTGATTGCTCATTCTTTTTCTGTATGCTCATTGTTCCTCCTGCTAATTTCCCATTATTAGGCCACGATCCAGGAACCGTTGCCACCTGCCTCCCAGAAAGTATGGCGGGACGAAGTCATTCCCCGGCTGGCTACCACTGCACAACTTGCCCACTGCATGAAAATTCACAGGGAACTTCTAGCTCAACCCCGATACACTGTGTCTGCTTTGCATCCAAGTGTCCACTACAATAAAGAATTGAGAGAGAAGGTAAGAAGTTCTGGGGAAAATTTGGCAATTAGGTGTTCTTCCGAAAGTGTTTGAAAAGACATTAAGAGGCAGATTCCCGATTTTGCTAGATAAAAAGTTACTGTAAGACCTTGCCTGGTTCCCAGGAAGACCTCTAGTGCAGCAGGATGAAGACCCTGACAGTGATATCAATCAGTCCCAGAAGGAACGGGTCTGGGAACACTTAACAAAACCTTATATCATTAGATTTGCTTTTTCCTCTTCCCTCCTGATACGTTTTCCTTTGTGCAAGACTCTTATTGCCTGAAGGCAGAGCCTACATGCAATATTTTAAAAATACCCAGTATTGCTTGGCTGTATTTTGCCTTCATGCTTTTTTCAAATTTCCAAAGCAAAAAAATGGAGATCTATCTTGTTTCAATTACCATGAAGCACTGGCGGGAACAGGTGATAATTAGTAACAAAATGCATTAGGCAAAATATATTTTGCTACCAAAACCAAGTTGCAAATTACCTAAGGCTACTCTGGCATATGAAGTTGGGAGCATCTCACAACCTTTTTTATAACTTTTTACGTTGCATTCAATAATAAAGTAATATCTTCTCTCATAATTACCAGCCAATGATGATTGTAGGGACATGGAATTTGTGAATAACACAAATCATTTTTCTACTTTGAACATGAAGTTTTTAAGAAAACCAACTTGCAACATGAATAGAATCAACACAGATAATCTTAAAAATAAGCAATTTTTCTATTCCCTCCTCAGCCTTAGGATCAGTAATAACTGTCATCAGGTCCAATCATCTGTCCCTCTGCTTTTTAAATACCTGTATAATTTTTAAAATTACTTTCACAAAACATGAAAAACTACAAAACTAATAAAATGCAAAAACAGGAAAGAATAAAGAAAAAAGTGAAAGTAGAATAAAAAAGAACAAATACAAACAGGTTTTCAGTTTCCTTTACAGAAATATTACATTTGCAAATTTCTCTTTTACTGATTATAAAAAACTTGCCTTTTTCTATTCTTTTTTTCTAATCACCCAAACCATAAATCACCTAAATATTTTTTATGTTTCAGGGAAAAAAATAATGGTTACTCTAATTTTTTCTCTAATTTGTCAAAAATAAAAATAGCATCATATAAAATAAAGACTGTTCCTTAGCCATTGAAATCTTTCATGGGTCCTTCTTTAGTTACATTTTTTGCAAATACATCTTAAACCTTTAAACCAAAGTCTGTCTTATACTTCTGTAGTCTGGAAAGAAGACTCATCACAAAAGATATCGCAAGAACTCTTTATCTTGCTGCAAAACAAAAACACTACCTTTCTTTGGCTGTAACTGATTACTTCTTAAAGTGATTAAGGGATGGGAGAGTAAAGCTGTAAAGTCCCTAGTGGTTCCATTACAGTTAGGAGTGTAGATGAAAGTCTAGGATTCCCAGCAGCTCAACTCCTGATCTGGCTGCATAACCTTTTGTGTTTCTGCAGTTTAATCAGGAGCTGCTATCCAGAACCAATGTAGTTAATCTCTCAATCTCCCCTTGATCCAGGGAGATAAAAGCCATGTAGAAATCATCTCCCAGTTGGCTTTCAAAGGCTACAGCAGTTCTCCTCACTTTGGAGAGTATCAAACTGCCACTTCCCAGAGAAAACAACTCAGCTGTCCGACTTTCTACTATATGTTTTGTTTCCTGGACTCTCAACCTGCTCTTCTCACCCACAGCTGAAACTTAGAGCATGGAGGTTCCCCTTGACTATGGAAAACCAGAAGAGTGAGATCCAAGCAAATTTTCGTGGTTGGCCCAATCTGCCACACGACCCCACCTTTCATGCTGGGCCTCAGCCATTTAGACTGGCAGCTCATCATGCAGATGGAGCATCCAAGGTATTTGGAATTCCAGGGACAAAGGGAGGGCATCACACCACATTTTTTTTTCCTGAAGACTCATCTTTTCTTGCCAGAGTCAGGATCTCCAAATTATTACATCCAGCCCTTGCTTATCAATGGAGACCAAGTGGAAAAAGTGGCCAGTTTTAAGTTTCTGGGTGTTACCCTAAAAGAGGACCTGACCTGGGGTGCCTACATTGCAGCCCTGGTCAAAAGGGCCCAGCAGGTATTTTACTACCTGAGACTTTTCAGAAAACAACAACTGAATGAAAAACTGCTGGTGACCTTCTACCGCTGCACCATGGAGAGCATTTTAACATACTGCACCTCTGTATGGTTTGCCAATTGCACAGTGGCAGATAGGAAAGCACTCCAGAGGGTTAATGTCATTGCCCAGAAGATCATTTGTTGCCCTCTCCCCTCTTTGGAAGAGCTTTATGGCTCCCAGTGCCTTAAGAAAGTTCAAAACATTCTCAAAGATCCATCTCATCCTGGGAAGCCTTTTTTTGAGCTATTACCATCTGACAGATGGTACAGAATAATAAAAACAAGGACAAATAGGCTGAAAAACAGCTTCTATCCCAGGGCAGTAGCTCTTTTGAATTCTGCTGTATAGTTCAGTATTGGTGTGATGTCAAGGGTTTCAGGTTCAATGTGTGAAGGGTGAAGGATGTGTGTTTGTGTTTATTTTCATGGTCATGGTCATGATGTGCACTGAAGATGGTGTTTGATTTCATTGTATGAGGTGCAATGACAATAAAGTAAACTAAATTAAGGATGTTTCATTGTGTACATTTTTGCAAAGTTTCTTTGCACAGTTTCTTTTTGATACTGAGCAAATGAATGTTTAAAGTCCTTTAGGCTCTTATCAGATCTATGTGCAGCTTGTGTACATTGAAGGCACAACAACTAGGAGTGGGCTGGGGTTAGAGTTTGCCTCAAATTAGCAGCCTCCAGAGAAGGCTGGATGGCAGCACATTGATAGACTCTGATAGTTTATCTCACAGGGACAATAGATAGCTATTTAAATTTCCCACAGTATCAAGTCTACTAAGGGAATTGTGGAAATTTTAAAAAGCAGATGCCATGGAGGAGGGAATTAGATGGTATTGCTAATTGATGCTGGGCCTGACTGAAGTATCATCATCTTAAAGATGTCTCCTGGAGCAGAGAAAATGCTGCTTAGCAAATTCAGAACATCCTTTCCAATAGTGATCTTTATTCTTTTCACTTTAGTCGGTGGTAGCCACTACGCAGAACAATGACCTGGCTGGAAGACCTTTCTACATCTGTGACAAGGCAGTGCTGCAGCTTAATGAACCCTACTTATCTACCACTGCCCAGGACTTTCGAAGCTTCACACAGTTAGTGGAACATCTGTGGTACCTTTTCCTCATTCCCCCAGTGCCATATAAGTAGTCCTCAACTTAAGATCAAAATGAAGGCCAGAATTTCAGTCATAAGTCATTATGGTTGTTTAAGGGTCTCAGTGGTATTACTACTTTCCATAACACCTTCAGCATCTGTATTTCACAGTAAAGTTAATTTTTAACTTATAACTGTAATTGTGACTGGATTTTGGTTGTAATTCATTACAACTATTAAGTTGAGGCATCTATGCAACCAGACCCAATTTTATGACATTTTTTGCAGTACTTATTAAACAAATCATTTTTTAACTGAACTTTATAGTAATAAGTGTAAACCCATTCTTTCCACTGGGAGTTTTTGCCGGACAACAGGCAAAAAAGTTGTAAACCGTGATCAGATAACTATTGAACCTACAACAGATCATAAAGGAGAGCTGGTTGCGAAGCACCTGAAATGTGGTCACATTATTATAGGGTATGGCATGATATTTTATGACAGACAGACTGTAAAGCATCCTCCTGAACCTGTCATAATTTTAAATGGTTCTTAAATTATTGGTTGTAAGTCGTGGACTACCTTTATTAGTTGTTGAGGAGCAAAGTGGGAGACATATGCTCCTAGACTCTTCAAAACAGATAATTGGAAAAAGGAAACTGGACTCTCTAGAATTTTGCTTTGATTCACAAAACTGTACCTTTATATTTCTATTTTTGCTAACCTGAACTTTTGGCATTCTCTTCATTATCCCATAGAGACAGGTGTCACTTTAATCACTGTAAGTTCCATTCTACCAATTGCACAAAATATGCTAATTTGATCAATGTATAAGTATGACCACAATTGAGCCCAAAATTCCATAATTAAACAAGACATTTGTTAAGTGAGTTTTGCCCTATTTTATGTTCTTTCTTGCCACAGTTGTTAAATAAATCATTATGTTTCTTAAATTAGTTACACAGTTGTTAAGTACATCTGGATTCCTCACCAATGTTGCCTGTCAGAAAGTTGAAAAGGGTAACTCCAGGACAATGCAGCAGTCAGAAAGTTAGTTGTCAAGTGTCCAAATTTTGGTCGTATGAAAAATGATCATAAGTCACTTTTTTCAGTGCCATTGTAATTTTGAACAGTCACTAAATGAATGGTTATAAGTTGGGGACTACCTATATCTTGGTTTGCAGAATTTAGGCCATCTATGCTAGTCTTTAACCATAATAAATTTTGATTCATCCTATTTATTTTATTAGGAAAAGGTGAGAAGCTCCCAACCTCTCTTCTACCGCAAAAGCTGGTAAAACTTGTAATTTTAGTAGATCCAGTTTCACTGAAGTCATAGGGACTAGAAATAAGTCCTTTTTGAAATTAAAGATTAGCTTCTTAGTAAGTTGAATTCTACATTTAATGCTGTATTTAATGCCCTCCAAACAGCACATACAAACTTGAGCAGGATTCTTGCATTACTGTATATAAAGGACAATAGAAGTATCTCCAGAAGTGTCCTTTTCTTGTCCTCTTATAAAATGATCTCACTCTTTACACAACACTGCACATATTTCCTGCTTTTGTCTACCTTCCTGAACTTTATTCTGTTTCCGTTCCCTCATAGGAAAGAACTTCAAGGGTATACTCAGAAGAAAATTCCCAATTTGGATCCTTACCCTCTGATTCGTGTTCCTGGGCCTATGCGGGATCTCCAGATGTTTCCAAAGGCTACCCAAGTGCCCCACCTGATCCTGAACCCAGCTGTACCTCACCGAGGTTTATTCAGCCTGGCCCAAAAAACCTACCAACTTCCCAATGACCACAAGCGTACCTGGGATCGTTTCTGCCCTGTGGAGCAGCCACCCACAGTTTCCTGCCGGGTGCCTGTGGTACAAATCATGTGTGTGCCACACATGTATGAGACGGAGTATAAATGCTATGGAAGTGGCAAACCTATGCCAGTGTGAGATGGACAGAGATTTGCACTCACTCATGATTCCCTTTCTCCTACTTCATCCAAAAAGGAAAAAAAAAATATTTTACCATGTTTACCTTTTGATCACTTTGTTGAAATAACAAAAACAAAAACTCTAGATGCATTCTAAAGGAACGTTTTGACTTATATTTTACCATATTGTCTTAACATTTTAGCCTCAGAAAGCTATGATCAAACTAGATCAAACATAAAAGTTGCCATGCTTGTGCGCTCACTTGAAGAATATTAAGCCCACACAAGTAAGCAAACCAGTTCAGGATTAATGTGCAAGAGTTAATGAGCAAGAATACTGTATATAAAGGAAGGGGATTTCTGGAGTGAGATATATATGCCCTTCTTGGCTTCTTATAGATTAATCTCACTCCATACATAACATGACTTCCGTGGGGATACTTAAAATCTGGTTCCAAAGTTCTAATGGCCAGGTCATCAACTGCATTTTGAGTGTTCAGAAACTGACCTACATCTACAGCTATACATCTGCAGTGTACTGCAGTCATATGAACATGTGATGTTTTTCTAAAAAATGCCCCGTTGTTTGCTTTATGACCATTGTGCTTAACAATTGCAATAAAAAGGTCATAAAATTGATCAATTATATGGGTGCCCATTTTATGATTCTTACAACTTACTTAGTGGGCCAGCTCCATTATGATCATAAGTCAAGGACTATTGTACAATGATATTGAATTCCAAAACAAAAAGTCATAAGGGAGTAGCAAATAAGTAGCATTTTGCTAGGCCTAGATAATACTTCAGGATCAATAGCCAAAGAGATTTGCTTGTTATTCACAAAACAAGCCCCAACAATACAAGCCCCTGTATATTGGCTCTTTGCTATGTGGTTCACATAGCAAGTATAGATAGATTTTCACAGTCAGAAAATAGGTTTGTTATATCTTGCCTGCTTCAGACCCCATTTTGTATAGATGAACCATGAAATGTATTGCTGTACTAGAGTTTGTTAATTTTGGATTGGTTATATAAAATTCTCAAACATTTAAATAATGTTTAAGCAAACAATGACTTAATGCAATTGTTTGAACCCAATCTGAATGTAAAAGATAAATATAATTTTCACATTTATATTCTATCTTTTCTGGTTTATATGAGATTTTCCTATTTTCTCTTCAATATCACCTAGGAAGTTGATTAGCTAGAGAGACAATAACTTGGGTTCCTTTAGTAACAGTGGCACATCTGTAGAAGGAAGCATGGATTGTACTGTTCTAAGTATGGATACATGTTCTAGCCAGTTTTATATTAGGATGCAATACCCAGGACGGATGTTATATAGGGTTTTCAGCAGGAGTGAGAAACCAATGACTCTTAAGATACTTATCTTCAGCCCCATTGTCAATGATAAGGAATGATGGCACCCAATAAATAACTGGTAGACCATATAGTCTGGGGTTAGAATTTTGGATTGACAATAAGCATTTGCAGATTGTTCCATAGCTAAACGATAGTCACAAGGTGACTATCCTCTAAAAAAACACTTTATACAATTGTGGTATGAATAATATGTGAGAGACCAAAGCAGTATTTATGATGTGAGCTTCTGGGAGATGGCATATCAATGTACATATTATTCAATATGTAATATGTTCTATCACTAATGGATGTGGTTCTTGAATCATGCCTATGACCTTTTTGATACAATTGTGAATCATGGTGACCATTAAGGGAATCACACAGTTGTTAAGGGAATCTGGCTTCCCCCATTCATTTTGCTTGTCAGAAGCCATCCAGGGAGGTCATAGTGATCACATGACTCCAGAATGCTATGATAATTGTAAATATATATTTTCCAAGTGTCATAATTTTGATCATGTTATGGGATACTACAATAGTAAATGAGGGTATGGGTCCCAAGTTACTTTTTTGAGCATCATCATAACTTCACATAGTCATTAAATAAACAATTGTAAGTTGAGAGTTGTTCTTACATAAACTGTTACTGCATTTCTGTCTACTGATTGCAGAGAAATATAACAACATGGGCAGGCAAAAAAAGCAATGAATATCAGCGACTTCCAACTTCTTGCTGATTTGACCAGATCTGACCACCCTTTGGCAGCCAGTGATGGACCAGTCTACCCAGACATAAGCACCTTGTGTTTGACACCCCTGGTCTACCTGATCTCCAGAGGCTGAAGGAAGGGCCAATTTACCTGCCTCTGGAAGGCTAGATAGCGAATTGGGACCAATCAAAGCAGTAGTATTGAACTGACCACAAATTATTACATTTCCATCTAGCAGGACTCATGGATCCTAGATTCTTGATGCATTCTGTATGTTGGCCTATCGGAATTTCCTTGGTTTAAAAATTATTAGACTATGATGTGCCATTTTGCCCAGTTAAAGGTTACAGACATGAGAGTTTTAGTAGAAATAAAATTCAAATGGAGCCTGTCCATCACAGTTGTAGGTTGAGACCATCATAAAGTGAATCAGTGGTTTATAGGTGTAGTTTTGAAAATCAAGCCAAATGCCAATTTTTAGCAAAACCATAATAAAATACAGTCTCATGACCATAAGACACTGCAAACTGCTGTAATTGCAGTCCAGATGTTGAGAGTCCAAAATGTGGTCACTTGACTAGGGCAGCCCTGACAGTTTGAACTTGAAATCCATGCAGTAAGTATCCCCAGGCAGGTCAGTCATAACTTCAAACAGTCACTAAGCAACTGGTGCTAAATCAAGGATTACCTGTAGTGACAAGTGATACATTACAAGTTTTATTAAAAAATATCCATAGTAAACTGTCCTTGCTTCATACACTTGCATAGCTCAATTCTAAGCATCTCCTGACACATTGTGGCATATTGTCTGTGTATGCTTTGGAGGTGCCTTTGAAAAGAAAAAGTATTTAAGGACTTAAGTGCAGTTTTTAAAAATGAGTCTTAACAAAGCCAATTCACGGCCGCATTCCAAGCATATATATTTTTTACTATTTAGTTTATGAATAGTTTTTCCATGTAGAAAAGAAATCACTGTTAATAATAAAACATGGTTTCCTAAATTTGAAAAGGAGGCATAATCTTAATATCTTTATTAAAAGGCTAACAATGAAACCTAAAATCATAGGCAATTATACTATTCGGACAGAGGTGGTATTCAACGGACCAGATCTGGAGAACCAGTAGCGGAAATTTTGAGTAGTTCAGGGAACTGGCAAATACCACCTCTGACTGGTCCCGCCCCCATCTATTCTCTGCCTCCTGAGTCCCAGCTGATCAGCTGGGTCTTCTTTTGTTGCCCTGCACAGGACAATGGAGCTGGAAAGTGAGGTGGAGAGGGAATGGGATTTTGCAGTATCCTTCCCCTGCCACACCCACCAAGCCATGCCCACAGAACCGGTAGTAAAAAAAAAAAAATTGAATCCCACCACTGCATTCGGAGGTCATTCCCTGTGCTAGGTAACCCACTCAAGAAATCTGAGAGCTGCATTCTCTTTTTTCGACATCCCGTCCCTGATTTCTCATCTTTTTCATTCATAAATCTTGACCAATTAACAAGTATGCCCACGCCTCCTACAGCTGGGGAAACCAAGAGATGCAAAAAAACCTGAGATTTTCTCGGAGTGTGAGTCATGGGAAGCTGTTGGCCAGCCACACTGGTTGAAGTGGGAAACTGTTAGCCAGGAACGTTGTTTGGTGGCCTCGGGCGCAGCAGCGTGGGTTGGGCCAGATAGGACTGGAGCGAAGAGCATGCTCAGCGTGAGGAGAGCTTTAACAGAGCAGCTTTGTGCTTGTGCTGTAACGGCATCTTTTAATGGCACCTATGGGTTAGTCAAACTGGCAAGCTACATCCTCACACTAGAAGGACGTGTCAACCAGCAGTAGGCCACACTGGAAGATGCTCTGGCTGGCCCCATGAGTGAGCAACTGTGAAATTATCTCAACCGATCTCTGCTGGGATGCAGAAAATTCCACCTTCCAGAATTCAGGGATAAGAACTGATTTTGGAAGTAAATCTATTCTCGACTTTAAAAAAAAAACCTGTGGATGTGGTGAAGCATAAACATATGGTCTGTATATCTGTGCGTGATTTGTCAAAGCTGCTAGTGATTCCAGTGTAAACTTTTTTTAAACAATTTTCAATTATAAAGAAAGATGGCTCAGTTTATTTTCAAATGGAGATGAAAGAGAAAGATGGGAGAAGTAACTTTAAAAGTGATAATATAGGCTTTATTTAAAAAACTGGCAGATTTTTAAAATTGCTTTGTCACCTGGAAAAGAGTACTTGCAAACTGAATGGTTGATTAAGTTGCTTCAGTAAAAATATTGCTGGAATAAGAATAAAGTGAAAGTATGTTGTCTTCATATAACACACGCCTCAGATCATATTTTTTAGCATATGGCATATGACCTCTCTGGGCCCTGTGTTATACAGAGAAACTGAGAGGGATGAAATGCATGAGGAGATGTCTAGAGTGCCACTGGCAGAAGTCAGGAGATGAACTCGATCGAACAAGAGTAAGAGCTGCTACTAAGGCCTATCTTGTGGCGATTCATGCGGCGATGTATAAATACTTCTCCACACTAATTGTATCTGCAGATAATCTCCTAGTGACCCTCTTTAAGGTGAGCCATCTCCTCCTAGGGAAGGAGGAGATTGAGGTCCACCTGAAGGGGTATGCTGAGGAATATGCAGATTTTCTGGAAGACAAAAATCACTCAACTTCATTCCCATTAGATGCAGGCAGGCAATCGATCAGGTGGACAGAGCAGAGTGACGGTGGTAGTTGGGGGTGTCTCATTTTCACACATCACACAGCCGCCATTGCTGCCATGCTGACCTATGGGCCAAAGAACATGGGGACACAGCAGGGTGCGTGTGTGAAAATTTGACACTCCTGACTGTCACCACCTCCCCCCTGCCCACCCACTCTATCCATTGCCATTGCCATCCCTGGCCTCTTTGGCCGGAGCTTGGCAGCAACAGTGGCAGTGACAATGGGTATGTGTGAAAATGGGAAGTCCCCGGCTATAACCACCACTCTGTGCTCTCTCCTGCTTGCTCAGTTGTGTGCCTGGCTCTCCTGCCGGTTGCCCACTGCAAGTTATCCCCATGGTGAGCTGGCCATGTGTAGTTGTCCTGCAGCAACTTGGTGGCAGTAAATTGACAAGCAACTTGGCGGTGGCAAGCTGGCCACAACAAATTGTCCTAGATCTTCCTTTTCTGCTGTTACAGTTTAGGGATAAACTACCCAGAGCAATAATATGGCAATTACAACTTTTGGACTGAGGAGGCAAATTCATTAAGCCAAAGTCTTTTTTTCTGATGTGAATTTTTGAAAGAACAAAGCACCATCTATCCATTGCAGAAGATCTACTACTGTCTACTGGTACTTGATAATAGCTCCTGATTCCAGTCATCTATGAGAACTCCCAAAAGCTTTACTCGGGACTCTATTGGCTCACTTGCATTCATTCTGCAAAATTATAGGGCTTTAATAAAGATAGAGAAAGAGGTTCTGAGTTTCTCAAACTGTTGCCATATCAACCAATTAAATCCACAGCTAGCCTTCATCTGTACCTCTGTTAATTGGTATTGCAATTGTCTGTCCCCTAGGTGACGCTAGAGTGTCGCCTTGCTCTTTAAGATTTCTTGTTTCAATTTTTTCCCCTTATCTATACTTCTAAAAAAATTCTTGCAACTTTTTTTTGCAACCTTGAAGTAAGCAAAATGGTACATCATAAGGCAACAGTTTTTGAATCAACATATTCCAAATGAGATAACTTATAGAATGTGCCCAAATCTGGCCCTTATGACTCCTGCAGAATTGGTATTTAGGAAATTTATGGCCAATTCAGTGCTACTATGCTGTCACACCATCGTGGTCAGTCACAACCAGATATTTATCATTTCCAGTGGTTCTGACCACAATGGTTCACAATGCAACAAGGAAACAAACAGGGAAGTCAAAAGTTGCCCAGGTAACTCTCTTCTGCTCATTCAATATTTATAGCCCCCCTGTCCTTGTACTGCATTGGCTAATGTTACACCTCTATGCACTATTCACGCCCGTGCTACACCCCTATGCAATGTC